ACACACACACACACACACACACACACACACACACACACACACACACACGTGTCGCTACACCGTGTTCCTGCCCGCTTCTCCCTCCTCTCCCTCCTTTCCTCCCTCCGTCCCCCCCCCAACTTTCGCAGGCGCGTACCGTGACGGCCTGGGTGAGGTGCTGTGCGTCGTGAAGGAGGCCCAGGACGGAAGAAAACGTGGGCACTTCGCACAGGCCAATCTCCTCTGCGTCAACAACCATCCACGTGTCGCGGTGCTTGAAGACGTACCCTTTCATCGACCCGCCAAGCATGAACGGCTGCTTGGCCTGCCGCACCTCATCTGGTCAGAGGGCGGAAGACGGCCCGGGAGGAGGGGGGGGGGGTTCGTGGTGTGGGTGAGGGGTGGAGTTGGCGGGCGCGATTGTGGCGTGGAAACGGCAATACAACACTGTATGCACGTGTACAGCAAAACACAACAAAGGGACACACACACACACACACACACACACACACACACACACACACACACACACACACACACACACACACACACACACACACACACACACACACACACACCTGGTCGATACGGTAAGGTGTGTCGGAGTCAATTCGGGTGGAAAACTCTGTTGGGTTTCCTGATGTGTTTCCCTTCTTGGGCAGGCGGCGCTCCACTTCCTGCTCAACACAACGGGGAAGATAAAGCAGCACGTGTAAGGTACGGGCAACACGACAGCTGCAGCCGCAACACTGAGCACTTTGATTGTGATTTGTACATGTGCGCAAGGGCATTCAACAGCGCTGCACGCACCGCTTGGGTCACGCAGGCCCCAAGAACAACCACGTGTCCACGCAGATGGCCATTCCTGCAAATACACAAACAACATCAAGGCATAGCGGCAGCAGTTCGAGCAACAACACACAGCGTGTGTGTGTGTGTGAGTTTGAGTGTGTGAGTGTGTGAGTCTATGTGAGTGTGTGAGTGAGTGGGTGTGTGAATGTGTGATGAGCGCATGTGCTTATTAGCATGTGTATGCATGTGCACGGTTCAAACAATTATGCGTACGGGCAACTGATGGGAATTCGGGATGGCCGCGTGGTCCTTGGATCCGGCGCAAGCTGGGCCACAATGGCCTGCCAGCAGGAAGCAAAGAAACCAAAACAAAACACAGGAACACGCCCGTTATGTGAGTGCCGTGTAGTGCATGCAGCACACACGACGACGTGCAAGTCGAAACAAAGCAAGTGCGCACAATCACTACACGCAACCGCACACACACACACACACATACGCACACGCACACACACGCGCGCACCTCCAGCAAGCGGCCAATGTCCTTGAACATGGATGGGAGCTCAGTGGCGACAAGCCACTCATACTCGCGGGTCTACGATGATGGGGGGCAAAATGTGTACACGTGCATGAGTACGTCAGTGAGGAAGCGATCTCATCAAGGCAACAACAACAGCAACAACAACAACAACAGCAGCAGCAGCAGCAGCACACACAAGCACACACACACACATACAAACACACACACACAAGCACACACACACACACACACACGGCTCACCAGCGTGTCGACCTCCTCTCGCACACAGCCACTCATTTTCCTCCTCGCCTGCTTGACTGAAAGTCTTTCTTCGTTTGCGCACAGTCGTGCCGAATATTGCTGGTTATCTTCTACAGATTGTCCATATCCTCCAAGCAGAAGCCAACTTCTTCCACTGCCGCACAAACAAAACAAGACCAACAACCATTTCCCTCCGCACACACACACGCACACATCACTGTCCACCATTCGCACCCCTGGATCGCTGCTCTCACGACTCGCAACCGCAAGCATGGATTACTGGCTTGGAAACCGCACCGCTCGTGTGCCCATGTCCCTCCACAAGATCAACAGGTCTGTCCATGCATGCATGCGTCGTGTGTGTGTGTGTGTGTGTGTGTGTGTGTGTGTGTGTGTGTGTGTGCGTGTGTGTGCGTGTGTGTGTGTGTGTGTGTGTGTTGTTTGGTTGTAGTTGGCCATAAGAGAGGAACTGGTAGAGATTTGTGAGCACTGCCGCCAAATACGCCCGCAAACTTCCTCCTGCTCACTGCCATGACATCCTTCTCCGGTTGTCTTTGGAAGGGCGAAGTAAAGTAGCGACGCTCAGTCTGATGCTCATATGTGCCACTAGCT